ATACAGAAATAAAGCTAAAAACACACAAATGACAGATATATTTTAACAATTATTTAACTGAATTCGCAAACTTTGTTTTAGCAGGGAACAAACCAAATCAGTTTTAAAGCCACAACATAACCAGTGCTAAGTCTTTTTTGCAGCTATTTTTCTTTGTATCGTTTTCTTAGTATGTTTGATTTGGTGATAAGTGGAGGCATTGCAGAGACAAGGGTGGAACAAAACACAGAACTACTGGCTGTTTCTCGGTAATTCGATTTTGACGCTTTGTGTTTCGTGCTTCGCATGTGCAACTCCACTACCTTAATACCCATCGTTCCGAGGTTCAATCGCTTCTTGCACAAAATAAACCGTGCCTCATGTATGTTCCCTGGTACTGGTTTTAGCCATGGAGAAAACTGTTGGCTGGATAGCCACTTTACACTTGCTCATATTTTTCAGACAAAAAGTTAATGGCGCATCTCCCAAATGTCCTGGCCGTAACAAAGCTTTTATTGGTTCAGCAATCGGGACGGAACCAATAATGGCGAGCGGATATTTATTTTTTATAAAAAAAAAAAGGTCAATGTTTTATTTAGATTACAAAAATAAATCATAATATAAATAATACTTTTCATGAGGTTTTAAAAATTAAGACCTACGAAAGACTGATTTAAGAAATTTTAATACCTATTAAGGCCTTAGTTTTATTTTGAAGAATTCAATGCCTTTTAAGACTTTTTAAGGACCCGCGGGAACCCTGGGTTGACCATTGATGTCCTCTGGAAACATTTCTTTATATCTTTAAAATGATAGTGGAACAAACGAACATTTTTGCTGCACAACTAAGCACAAATGTAGCACAAAGGTTTGACACCAATTTTGGCTGTATTCACACTGCAGACCTTGATGCTCAATACCGATTTTGTGAAATCCAAGTTTTTTGCTCTGCCGTTCACATTTCCAAATATATGTGACCTGTATGTGATCTCCTGTGTAAACTGCATTCACACAGCTCATGTGTCCTGCATGCGCAGTAGAGGACGCAATGACGTCACAGGCCAGGGTGCTTCATGTTTACGGAAGCAAATAGGGATGGTAGTGACCGAGCGTATCTAGCGATCTTTCCAAACCTTAAAACCTAAATCTTTTTTTAAGATTGTTAAAAAAAAATTTAAAAAAATACAGCTCTCCGCATCATCGTCCGTTATGATGTTTGTTTTTCTTGCCACTTCTTCATAGCAAGACGCAGAATAGTAACCTTTGTCGGTTACTAATGGCGTTCAGGTCGAATTAATGTAATCTGGCCGTTCAGACACAGGTCGCATTTGAAAACATCAGATTCGAATCAATTCCAGGACCACATAACCAAGTGGTGTGGGTCGTAGTGGAAAAAATCGGATCTGTGTTGTTCAGACTGACATGAAAAGATCAGATCCAGGTCGCATATGGGCCAAAATCGGATTTGGGTCACTTCAGGTTGCAGTGTGAACATAGCCTTTGTCTGATTAGAAGGAGGTGGGAGGGCAACTTCCCTCAAGTTGCCCCTCCCTCTAATAATAATAATAATATTGGAACGAACTCCACTCCATATATTTTGAGCAATGACGAAGCACTTTAAAAAAATATATATATATCCCAATAGGGGGAAAAGTGATCAAACTCCTCTGTGCAAACCTGGTAATGATTATAATGAAGCAACAAAGCAAAAAACAAAACAAAAAAAACAATCAATAATGAATAATTATTTTATGATGGACAAAAACCTGATGGGTGGGAGTGGCCCTCTTCAGTGGGACAGCACAGTCATTCAGAGGAAATCATCCTCTAATTTCTACATATCCTGGTAAAGCTGACTTTACTCACTTTAAATGACAACATTTCTGACTGGATCCCTACTTCCAGTGTGGAAACCAAAAGCAGATTTTAGAGGAGCTTATCTGAACCGTCCAGCTGCCCTGCCTGTCCGTTCAGCTCTTCTTTCATCGATTATCCGCCAGTCTCCTTGCAGGACTAACCCCCCTTTGTCTCACCTCCAGCGGAGAGCATCACCCCTCCCACCGCATGAAGCAGCATGCAGGGATGGAGGATGATGCACCTGAGCTTCACCTACAAGCAGGAGGTCTGCTGCTGATGACCTGCAGGTGTTTGCTAGGCCCAAGGGCGCTGACTGACAGGTGGCACCGACGCATTCAAGAAATGATGGAGACTCACCTCAGCGCCACGCGGACTGAACTTTCATCCTGTCCCGTCGTCATGGCTCCTTTAAAGTAATCCCCAAAAAAACAGAATATAAAATCACTGCAGCAATTAAAAAAAATATCTTGGCGCTTTGCCCTTTGGGTAAAAAAATAAAAAATAAAGGCCAGAAAAGAGTGCGCACTCTCCTCGGTGCAGGCGGACGGACCGCGAGAACGGGGTGCTGCTCACCTCGGCCTCGTCATTTTGAAACTAAAACAAAAAAAAGGTGTTAGAAGTCATGATATGAGCGAGGGGTTAGGTGTTGCGCTGCATCTCGGGCCCTGGGGATCTTCAGCTGGAGCTGAGAGCCAGAGAGTGGGCCGCCTGCTGCTGCTGCCGCTCCGCCTTCCTTCTCCTGAGCCGTGCGCGCGCGCAGACACATAGAAAGCAGTCCGCGCGCGCAGCCGTGCGTCCTTCTGCTGCTCGGTACGCACCGGGAGGGAGCCGCAATGCGTCAGCAAGCCACGCCCACTCTAAGGGAAAACCGGTGGCGGAATTACATCATAAATTGCTGATTTTTTTGTTTTATTTTTTTAGACAAAAGGTAAATTGAATGACTGCGCAACGTCACTACTATCCAAAAGGTAGTCAGCTTTCACAAAAACTGTATTGTTATAAATTTATTTTTTTTACAGCAGTGGTCAGTGTTTTAAACCTTGAATATAACAAAGATTAATCTGTTCTCTGTTTTACTTCCCTGGAATCAAGAAAAGTATACTTTAATCCATCTGGGTCACAATTACACCTTTAAAAACAATATTCCACTCTACCTTAATAATTTATATTCTAATTAGAGATTATTGCAAAAAAATCAGTACAATTCAGTTTATTTATATAGCTCCAATTCACAACACATGTTAACAGTTCACCAGATCATACAGTCAAATTTTATATCTAAGGAAAACCAGTTGATTGCATCGACTCATTGACTCGAAGGCAATCCCTCACACTAAGCATGCTTGTAGCGACAGTGGAGAGGAAAAACTCCCATTTAACAGGAAGAAACCTCCATCAGAACCAGGCTTGGTGTGAGTGGCTATGTGCCGAGGCCGACTGGGGTTCAAGGAGACAGAAGCAGAGATACAAAAGGCAGCTGTACACAGCCAGGCAGACGAGCTCTGAGCCAGCTCCCATGTAAGAGGATGAAGAGAGCACATCCAGCCAGTCACACTCAGAGAAACAGGACCACATTGGAAAAACGGGCCGATCTCCAGCATCCATAAACGAAAGTGTTGATGGCAGCAGCAAAGCTGATATTTCTCTCCAGGATGGTGTCACAGCCAAACAGGAAGAGACGTGAGAAAAAGCATAGAGAGCATAACGTTAGAGACTGAAGTAACAGATTCTGCAGAGTAGGAGAATAGAGATAGAATGAAGCAGAATGATGAAAAAGGGGTCCCTATTGTAAACAAGCGGTTCTTTGAAATCATATTGAAAAAGAAATGACAAAATTAATAATAAAAAAACGAATGTTGGTTAGATTTTTGTAGAATCATTAAATCAATATACTGACAAAAATATATTTTTTTATTTTACTAAATAATCTTACTCATAAAAGCGTTCAATTTCTGTTTCTTTTGGTCAATGACTTTCTAAATATTTTTAGTACTTTAAAACCAAACTTGGAAACAAAGTCCAGTGGATTGTTTTTTTTTTTACTTTTTGGAACATATTGCATATAAAACATTCATGGTGATTATTTTATTATTTTTAGAGTCAGCTTCTCAGATTTTAAATATTTCATTTTACTGAATAAATGTTAGCTGTCACATTTCCTCAGCTAAACAGTATCAGCAGATGTGGCAGTCATCAACAGACAGGGCCAATAGTGCCATCTTGTGGCTGTAGAGGGATAAAACCGTCACCAACCTTTTTTACTTCAGCGTGCATCATAATAGCGCCTCTGATATTGCAGCCAAAAGCAAGCAGGTCATTGTGAACATGTTGGGTTGGTTGAATATAAAGGAATCAGAAACTCAAACATAGGGCTGAAATCTTCTTCTCTAATTTCTGATTATTTTTAACCATTATTGTGATTTTATTTCAGGGTTTATACAGGAATGAGTAACTCTAATTTAATGCTCTTTTAATGCTCTCAGAAATAATTATAATAATACCATCAACAAGTACCCATGACTCTCATATATATATATATATATATATATATATATATATAAAAATAAAAAGAGACAAACAAATCTTTCATCATCTTCATTGTCGTCAGGCTTCAGCCATGTCCCGAATTCCTGGTTTTCCAACCACTTTTGTTGAAATTAGCATTTTTTTTCCCCCCATTCTCTAGCTTTTTCTCTGCCTCAAACTTTTTTTCCGAACAAACGGCTTTATGATCAAGCAGTTCCATGCAAATATATCACGATATAACATATCTGAGGAAAAGTTTTTTATAATTTTCTTTTTCTTTTATAACGCATTTTAAATGCTGAAATAATCACATTCAATCAATTTTAATTCCAATTAAGGCCTTAATTTAAAAAATAATTTAATGACTTTTGTTTTAAAAACCCTGTACTTGCATTATCCTTTGCATTAACCACAAGCCTGTAGATATTTCTCTCCCTGGTTTATTTTTTATGACCTTTAAACCTTGCTTGTCCAGAGTCCTTTGTTGCAGGATTGTATCGTAACCTTTGTGTCAAAAGATGCTTGATTCTATTTACATTCCACCTGTTTGTTTTTTTTCCAAAAAAAAAAAAAAATGTTAATTTTTACTTCAGACAGAAATTGACTCAAGTAGAAAAAGGATTTTATCAACATCTGTTAGTAAAACATTTTTATTTTGCACTTGGAATGATTTGATTAGTTGTACATTGTAGAGTGTTTAAAGGAATGCCTGATGACCTGAACAGCATTAGAAAACAAGATAACAACCGTCACCATAAACATATACAGACACTAATTTGCAAACACTGCAAGGCCTGTAATGGATATATAAAATCCCAACATGAGAAACATTATAATGGTAAATTTCAAAGGGCCCACAGTACCATGAAGTAAAACAGGCACATATCAAAGTGAACAAGTGCAAAAAAAGGGCTTTGCGTAAAAAAAGACTTCTGTTTAATCAGGGTTGCTTGACCTCGCTTATCTGAGCTGCAAGAACAAGGACATATGATTGGACGTTAGAAGGTGGGATTTGGCATTGTTTACAGAAGGCCTTCACCTTGAGGCTGTACTTACAGAGATATAGGCTATGGCACAGTCAGAGTCCACTGCTCCATAGTGTGCCGCGCTGAAATCTGGAGAATGCTAAAAAAAATAATGTGGGAAAAACTTACACTTTCTAAAAAATAATACTGTAAAAATATATTTGGATGTATAAAAAGGCACTTGTCTTACAGAGTGCAGACTCTCACTGCATGGATAAGACCAAACCACAATCAATAGTTTCTTTCCCACCAGGTGCAGATTTAGAGAACAAACCCCTGTTAGTGAACTTTACAAGAATGTGTTTTGCAGAGAGTCCAAAGGAGCCGGAAATAATTGGGAATCCTCTGTGATTTTAAGAGCAAAGTGTGCAAACACATTCTTGCTGGTTTCCAATGTTTGAACTCTGCAAAGAAGAATACTGAAGGTGGAGGGTCAGACTGAAATCATGCAGAGATCCTCAGCGGAGCTGGGAATGGGAAATCTCCAATATGGCCGAAGGAATCAGTCCTTTTCAAAAGGACTCTGATTGGTCATATCATAGGAAAAAGGGGCGTGTCTTTGGCTTGCGTTCTTGAATGTTGTCTGAGACACAATAGAATAGAATAGTCAGTCTGTTAACATTAGGGCTGAAGAGACTCGTTTCCCTTTTGAGGTGCAAAACAACGACTGACATATTCATCGTTTAAGCAGAGAGGAATAGTTACAGTCAGTGTTTTCTCATCACAGTCAGAAGGCGACATGATTATCTTTCTTCCCCGCATGAGCAGAAAAGGAAAGCAGAATCAAGAGAGAGCATAAAGAGAGAAGAAATAGAACCAGTCCGGTCTACTCTACATCTGAGGCCTCATCGTCAGACTGGAGGTAGTTGTTGCCTTTTACCCGGATGTATTGGACGTGGCGACTGGTGTTGGTCGGCAGGTCCCCGCAAGAGCACAGCTGCCTGGTGAACAGGTTCTCTATGTCCTCCAGCTGTAAACCCTTTGTTTCTGGAAGGCAGCTAAAGATGAAGAGGAGGCCGAGCACCGTCAGGCCAGCGTAGAGGAAGAACGCACCTGGGAGGCAGAAAACAGAGCAAACATATCAGAGGACAAACAACAGCTGAAGCAGCATCTCTGTGTGAGCTCATAGTTTATTACAATATTATAATAATTAAACCACTTTACTGACAAAGAAGGTTTTTCATCCTAAATGCAAATTTTATATAGTTTTAGCCTCATTACTGCTCTTCCCCTCCCAGGGGGAGGGGGCTATTTCTGTGAATCCCATGTTATTGGTTATTTAATTACTAAATGAATAAACAATGTTAATCAGGGTTTATACAGGAAGGAGGAACTCTAACTTAATGCTTTTTAATGCTCTTAGAAATAATTTAAATGCCATCAATAAGGACCCATTACTCTCATATATACTGTATATATATATATATATATATATATATATATATATATATATATATAT